ATACAATTGTTATGGTTATATCAAATGAATTACTTTGGAATTAACACCGAATTAGTGTCAGGATTATTGTTATATGATATGAAAAATACATTACAGAATCACTGTCTCATAGCTCACCACAATCTCTCTCTCTCTCTCTCTCTCTCTCTCTCTCTCTCTCTCTCTCAAATGTAGTTTCTCTGTACTCTCACTCTCTTATCAATGATAAGCACTTATAATGTCTTATAATTTGTGTAACGAATCACAAAAGAGGAATTGAAACCGAATCTAAAAGTTGTAACAAAAAAAAAGCAAAACCTTTTGTAGTTTACAGTGTTTTAACAAACAGTGAGTTAATTGTGACTGGGAAAGCAGCCCATAAATCAAAGCAATTAGTGAACACACACACTGTCTGTCTATGCATATGAAATTACTTTTTGAATTTCAATTCACTGTATTTCAGTGTGATAAAAACAAATAATTAATTCAGTTATTGTAATCATAACAAACCATTAAATAATGTTAACAAACTCTCTATTAAATTTATTGATTGTGTTTTGCATCATATTCATTGTTAAAGGTTTGTATTTAAATTATTTAATACAAATTCTGAATTTTATAATATATTTTAGTACCGGTATCTCTTACTGTAGATTAGTTTTTAAATTATATCAAAAGATTTTATTTTTATACAATTTTTAGCTTAAAACTTTTAGCTTACATTTATTCTCATATAATTAAGTACATAGCCATACGGTATATAATAGATAATTTTGTTTAAAAGTTGTAAAAATATTTTAAAACTTAAATGATAATAAGTTAATAACAGTAAAATTAATATAGTCTATTCAATGGATACCTATTATATATTTGCAATAACCTACCTGTCCAGTGAACTCGAACGCACCCCATCATAAGCCACACCACATACATCACCACAATAGAAACGACGGCATACACGGTGGAGTGGATACCGGCCCCCAAGGCATACCGGGGGCGGGCGATCCCCTGCGACAGAATCAGTACTTCAACCAACAGAATCGGGTTGAAAAGGCGGGACCGGGAGTCGGGCTAATGCCTGAGGAATGGGCTCATCAACTGATGTACCCCTACGAGACCGAAGACTATTGTCACGGCATTAACTCAATGAAGCAGATGCACGACCAGCCCCTACCCTTCCGGCTCCCCTTCTCGGGGTTTGCCTTCAACTATGTTTGGGTATAGTTTGGCTTTTCTCATATTTTGTTAATTTTATAGTAAATCATGATTTATTTTAGGATTATTATAATATAGAGTTTTTTAACAAAACTGTTTTTAATCTAATTTAGAGGCTTGTGTAAAAATGATTACTGTATTTCCATGCTATTTGACAATACAAATTTAATATGAAAAATATTAGTTAAAAACTTATACTGTAGTACAGTATTCTACAGTATCATTATAAATGTGATTCATAATATCTCAAGTATCAAAGTTTCCAGAAATAGTTTTGAGTACTTTACTAAAGATTCAAACCAATAGCTTGGTTACTATAATACAGTATTTTAAACTAGAATCCCGAAATAAGAAACATACCTGTCTCCTGGCTTACAGGTTCACAAGGATGGGTACGTCACTTTCAACAAGGGTCTCAAGAGTTATGCCTTTCCATTGGAGTTCCCAATGGTTCCGAGTGACACCAATGTGGAGGAGGACCCCTCGATTATCGCCGCCTTTTTCGCCCACCAGGACATCCCATCGGACGTGGACGGGTCGGGCGTCTACTTCCGGGTCATTGAAGTGGAAAAGGAGACCAATATATCGCTTAAGCAGCGACTGCTCGACGACTTCGGCACAGCTATGGCTCTTGAGCAATATAAAATTGCACAAATTTACTTATTAATTCTTTAATTTCATATAATTAACAAGTTCATTTGTCACAATCCATAATATAGAATATTCTGTATATTTATAATTAGTCTTACGAAACATATGAATCATATGAATTAATAATATACAAGACATTATTATTGTTAAAATGATTTATTATTGCAATTATTATTTCTATAATAATTGTAGATTGAATTTTATTAGTTAATTATTATTGATTACTGTGCATACAATTTTATATTTAATTAAAGTTCCTGTCAATACAAATAAATTTACAAAAAATTATTAAATATAATATTATATTGGTATAATATTATGTCATATCTGACACAAAATGATCAGTCATTTTAAATAAATAGTTATTTAGAATATAATAAATTTAAAATTATTTTATATTTATAATTATATCACAAATTAAGTTCATTTATATTTTATTATAAAATTATTAAAATAAATTATTATTTACGTCAAAGCTTTCTAGACTATTTTTTATTTGAAATAACTGATTAAACATGTGAAATATTTTGAGACATGAAAGTTTCATGGAGGAGTCCAGATTGCCTAATGTGTCAATATGTATATAATAATAGCATTGCAACTAGGATGTCATTTTAAACTTAAAATTGTTTAAACAGTCGCATAATGTGTAGCTATGATTGACTTTTGAATAAAACTTTCGTTAAAAATAAATCAATTTAACAATTAAAAAATCAAACACAAAAATATGAAGTAAAATTTACATAGCGGACACATGGCTCATAATTCTAGTATATAAGTAAGGTAAAATATTTTTTATTAACATAAATCAAACATTAATAATTTTTAAATTTAATTAAAATTATAGTATAAATTAAAATTATATTATAAATTGAATATTAAAAATGAATAGTATATTAGTGGTAAGTATGCTATTGTCTGTGGGCTACCAGTGCTGTTGGGCTGGCGATGATTGGAAGCAGTTTCACACAGACATGAAGACCAGTTTGTGTGTCGCCGACAAAGTGGACGACTCTGTGCTCAACAAAGTGTCCGATTGTAAGAAGAAGTATATCTTTACTCCCGATAGGGTCGAGGAGATGGAGAAAAAGGTCACACCTTTTTATTTCATTATTATTACATTTGGTTTACTCTTATATTTACACTAACTCATTAGATTTATTATATTTCAATATTTATAAACCTCACCATGATGCAATTATGTTCGGCTATTAAAATAATCATGATATTTGGTTATATTTAACTTATTTAACTTTTATAATATAAAATGAAATTACTTATTTGATATCAAAGCAAATAATTTTTTTACTAAAGATTGTTAGGTTAACATTTATACAACACGTCTACCTACGGTATCTGTTCCTCACGCCACTCCCGTTCCTACTGCTGGACTCGCGGATGTGGTTTCACCTATTCTGATTATTTCGCTTATAACGCATTCTTATGGGCTATTGTAGCGATTCCTTCAGAAAGTGTATGAAAGATAGAAATGAAAAATCACGAAAAGATGGCAATAATGGAGAAGATAGTGGGGAATGCTTCAAGAAACTGAGCCAGCAACAAAAGGACGACTTCAAGGTGAGAGTGTGTTGTCAAAATTTAACGATTTGTTTATAATTAATTAAACAAACTATGTCTTTACATACTGGCTACGGCAGTTCTGATTGATTTATTACTAGCAATTATTCTTTGTTTACAATAGATCTAACAACATGATAAATCTCATTTGATATTCTGTGATTATATATTATATAATAAAATTTAATTTTAAAATTGCATTTAATTTTATTCTCATTCTTTTAATTTTACTCGTAATTAGATTATACAGTATTATTCAAACAAAAAAATAATATTTCATTTTGTATATCAAAATATTACTGTAAACCTAAATACAGTATACGAAATATCAATAATATAATCAATTTATATTAATTTTGATATAAAATTTGATATAAAAAACAGATAAAATAATAACAACATACTGTACTAACTTATAATATAATAGTAAATATTTTTAAAAATTAATTAAACTTTATGTTTTAGTTATTTAATAGTTATTTATTATATTTACAATTTAATAATTTATAACTGGTCAATTATTATAACTATCTTAATAATCTATAATAAGCAACAAGTACAGTTCAAGTTGAACTGTTCAACTACTGAATGGATTAACAAGGCTTATTTTTTATACTGGTATACACACATAAAATCAATGATTGCTATTTAAATACTGGTACAAAAGCATTTATTATAGCTGATTGGTATTTAACAGATTTCAGACAATTGTTATAAACTATAATTAAAATATCTTAAAGGTTTAAAATGCAAATGTTTTTCATTTTTTGAGAAAAATTTAATGAGTCAATCGAATTATATATTTTTATATTTATCATTGTTTTATACAATAATCTCGCCTACCGTGCCTCCCTGTCCCTTATTGACGCATTTACATAAGAAATTCCCATAGATGGTACCCATCAATTTTTTTGGTGTTGTTTCAAAAGCGGTGTTAAATGTATTTCTATGACTTGTAGTAGTTGTTGATTTACAGATGCCTACCGGTGCCCCAAACCAGTGGTCTCTTCGGGAGAATATATTACAGGAAAAACAATATTTTAGTTTAAATTTAATTTAGATATCTAGTTATTGTCAGTAAATGTTATTTTAAAATAAATATGTGACTGGACAAACTTTTTAGAACCACCACTAGTATAGTATTACATCAAAAATTTTAATTCAGATATGAAACCATATTTGATGTTAATATTAATTTACCTTCAGCATTCAATATTACTGTTAATTATATAAAATCATTCACATCTGTATTAACTATCAAACAGTTAATATTAAATCAGTAAAAATTCATTTTTAAGTAAAATAATTGAGACAATAAATGAGTTTATTTAAATTGTTATTTCAAAACAAATTATAAATATTAATTCATAATAATCCACGTCTCAATAGGTTATTCGAAGATGTCCAGGTTTATAATTATTGCAATTTTAGTGACTATTGGCTACCAGTGCTGTCTGGCCGATGATTTTGAGGCAAATCAAGAATGGCGTAAATTCCAGATAGAAATGTCAATGGGTGGGTGTCTGTAAGCCCCACACCACTGACAACGTGCTGATCGGCAAACTGGCTGATTGTAAGAAGCAATTGCATGCCACTCCCGCAGACGAAATGGTTGGTTACTATATATTTGATTAACAATTTAATTATTAATTACCCGCTTTTTACGGAATTTTGTATTGAATTCGTCACATTTATGTTCAAAATCATTCACTAGTATTTATAATATATATAAAGTTTATTTCAGTATTCGTAATAAAATTGTGCACTGTTTAATTATTTTAAAAATTTAATTTCTATAATTAGATTGAAGATATCAAAAATGATTGCCTTAAAGACCACGATTTAAAAGAGTTCACCAAGGTCGATTTGGCAAACAAACCCGTTTTGCTGGCTTGGTGTGGGTCGGGATACTATAAATGTATGAACGATAAGTTGGTAAAGGTTGATAATGCTAAGCCCGGAAACATAAAGAATTTCACCAAGGAACAAATAGATGAATACAAGGTTAATTTTTATTATCTTAATAAAGCATCATATGTATGATTATTATTAATTAATTAATTTTATAATCGTATGTGACATATACAGTAGTTATTTATATTACAAATTAAATAATGTTATCATTTCTACAGACATACCTAAGGAAAGCAGCACCAGGTGGACAGGAAATTATTTCTTACTATGAAATGGTGGACATCTACAGCGAAATGATAGATAGTGTTTGTAGACCCGAGACCACTGACAACGCACTGCTCGGCAAACTCGCCGACTGTAAGAAAATAATTAAAAATATCCCCGCGGATAAAATGGCTGAACATGAGGCCAAGGTGAGTTAGTTACTATATATTTGATTAATAATTAAATTATTAATTGCTTACTATTAACGGAAATTGGTATTGAGGTATTCTCATTTAAGTACAAAAAATAATTCCATTGTATTTATATATAGTTTATTCTGTATTCGTAATAAAATTATGCACTTTTTAATTATATAAAAAAATCAATTTGTATAATTAACTTGCAGAATTCAGGAAGGATTGCGTAAAGGACCATGATTTAACCGAGTTCCCCAAGGTCGATTTGACTAACAAGCCCGTTTTGCTAAGTTTTTGTAGTGTGAACTATCGGATATGTATGCAAGAAAAGAAGTTTAAGGCTAATATCACCCTCTATAATTACACCAAGGAACAGTTGAATGAATTTAAAGTAAATTTTATTTTATTAGCTCATTAAAACATATGTATGATTATTATTATGAATTAATTAATTATATAATTGTATGAGACATATAAATAGTTATTTATATTACATATTAAATAATGTTTTCATTTCTATAGACCTGTATTAGGAAAGCAGCACCGGGTGAACCTGTGGCGATATATGAACCATTTTAAACTAAAAATTGTTTAAACAGTTGCATAATGTTTAGCTATGATTGACATTTGAATAAAACTTTGTTAAAAATAATTCAATTTAAAAGTTAAAAAATCAAATACAAAAATAAGAACTAAAATTTATATGGCACATGATTGTTGTATAAATATATATGTAATGTGAATTATTTCTATTGACTCTTTTAAACCAAGCATAAATAATTTTTAAAATTAATTAAAATTATATTATAAATTGAATATTAAAAATGAATAGTCTAGTAGTGGTAAGTATGCTATTGTCTGTGGGCTACCAGTGCTGTTGGCAATGTGACCAGATCCAAAATCGAAAATACTTGTATTTTTGAATAAATTCTTCAAAAAAAACTTGACAACTACTTGACAAATTTTTTTTTGCAAAAATACCATTAAACTATGCTTTTATAATAGTTATAACATTATTTAATATGACATTATCTTAAAATTATGCTCAAATAAGCTATTACAAATGTTTTTAGTTAAAAAACTAAACTTGTAAAATTAAACCTAAAAAGCTAATTGGGAAAATATTCCTTT